CATAATACTATAGAAAAGCCATTCAGGAGTAGTATCTGCCTGGTTAGTGGTTATACCTGAGGCCAATAGGTTTGGAGAACTCTGAACTCTCTTCACAGCTGTTAATGTGACAGACATTGCAGCACGTTTGCGAGCACACCCACCGCTATCTGGAAGCACAAAACAATACAGGCAGCAGCCCAGACAAAGGGAACAAGCACATGCAATTTATCACAGTGTGAGATACACCAAACATGTATGAAAATAAGCATGCAGTTAGGGAACGGCTGCAGGAACGTGTAGATTTGCAAGTTTTGCAGACTGGCAAAATACATAAAATTTCACAAGCTTTAAACAACAATAAACCTCACAGAAAATAAGTAAAGAAAGCAGTATTTAGTACTTAATCCAGTAGGGAAATGTATACATTCTGTGTTACCTGAAAGACTGCTTAATTATAGCTAACTAGTAAAAACAAACAAGTAATCAAGATGAAGGATTAAGCATTCCAGAGTAATATTAATCAATAATCCGCATTGTAAAATCATTTAATTGTATGCATTAGAAAGACACCATTCATAAACTAAGCCTATGTTGGATCACCTGACAAAGTACCTTTGTTCAGTCTTTTAGATCCTTTAAGCTCAAGAAACAGAATTACTAAAGGATGGCATAATTTTCCTCATGCTTCAGTAGGACATCCTTATTCTCCACCCTCCTCCTCCCCCTCTCCCCCCCCAGCCCTTTTTTATCTAACAGGCAATTTAAAAAAAATGTATGTCTGGAACCCAATAACAGCTTGAGGGAATGAATGGAAATATAAAATCATTCCGAACGAACAGGAATGGAAGAAAACCTTTCTTCTGGACCTTGCATGACTCCTTTCTTTCATTATTCTCCATTCCACTCTCACTTTGAGCTGTCATTCTGTTTTACAAATACTCTGTTATTATTAGAAGGTGGGTTTCCCACAACTTAGCTTTTCAGCAACTCTATCACAGTTGTAAAAGCAAGTTAAACATTCTTCCTGATTATATTTAACTCTAATATTTTCCTGCTCTTCCATATAATTATTTTAATTTTCATCTTCAATATTACTGAAATTTAATACAGGTCCTCACTGAAGTCAAGAAGAACCATAACTATGACAGAGGCCCTGTTTTTAAATCTGTGTCCTATGACAGGGAGTTTTATAAAATTATGCTTAAGGAAGACGTGCAACCTATTAGTAGAAAGTATTTCCTATGATAGCAGTAATTTGAGCCACAGTGATATCTTTAACCCGCGTCTACAAGAGAAGTGAGCTCCTGTTATTTCTTTGCTCATTCCAATATTCTGCTGAAATAGCTGAGCCCTCCAGCCACATGTCTTGCAGGTTATGCATTAAGTAGTTGTTCAGGTTGGCAAACATCAGAGCCACTGCCCCAGGTGTAAGTGGTTCCAAAGACTCATTGCCAACTCCCAAGTCTCAAAGCAAAAGGCCAAAAGATTTCAGTCAACAATAGTCAAAAGCATTACATTACCCACAATTAATTATTGGCGTTATACATGTGAAACAAAGACAATGACTATCAAATCTGCACATTTCTTGTAGTTTGCTTACATAAATATAAAATGGCAATGGTAATTAAAATCACATTTTCCATTCTTGTATTCCCTCCCGCCCAATGTACATCAGAAGTAGTTTCAAGGAGATCTGATGATGTGTTGATATTGAGGTTCTGTTCTTATCCAAATATTGGCAGACTTTGACAGCATAGTTTATTTGATTAATACAAGTTAACAGGCAAACTATTCTGTTATACTGTCACATTTTTATTCAAAGTGATGCTGTATTTGTATTTTTTCAGGAGCTACCTTCCTGAATTTCAGGATAAAGAAGCTAAAGTGGGAGGAAAGGAAAACAATAAGAAAACTGACTAAAAATATTTCACCATTATAACTTCAAGAAATTCTGCTTCAAATTAAGTTTTAATGTAATTGAACTGAGTCAGAGTTTTATACTTAGCAGACACATTATCTAGCAAAGTGTTTGACATGGCTTCATACTAGATAGCTAAAACATAAGTACTAACTATATAAATATATGCAAACAACATTTACCCCATATATAGAAACTCATACACAAGTCTGTACCTGCAGTAACATTCTCAGTATCTGTACAAAATAATGAGAGTAAATTAGGACTCAATTAAGACATAACTGTACAAATATACCATACTGAGTTGTGCAGAATTTCTAATCAAATATGAATGCATGTGGGCAAGCACATATTTACGCATGATGGACTCCATCTTTCCATCTTTGTTCAGGCCAGGCTCCCATTAAGTCAAGGGCATCGTATCTGAATGAGGACTAGAAGAATCTGCACTCTGCCTCAAAAGAGGCAGTTTTCAAACTGCTTCCCTTATCTGCAGGGCCTTACACAGTTGAACTTCAAGAGGCTTATTATTCCAGCCTGTATTCCATTTTCATAGCTCCATCACATTTCCAGCAATTAGTAACTACATTCACCCAGATTACTGAAGTCCAAGTAATCCCAAGAAACTCTAAGTCTAGAGAACAGAGAATTCAAAAAGAGTAAGGGAGGCTGAATTAATGATCATCCACTCATTTCACTTGCAAGCTATAAGCAATTACTATTGCATAGTTGTTACCCAAGGAACAAAGGAGGATATACAAAATGTGTGCATATATAAAAAAATGAAGTGTGTACAAATACATACAATTCTCTATGCTTTTGACATGACAAATTCTTCAGAAGTGAGACTCCTGTCTTCCTAGGTATTGTTTTAACATTGAAGCAAAGGAAACCTGAATCAGATGAGATTTGCAGGCAATAATAGAATACGAAGTTTGGCAATAATGCACAGTCAAAACAGCTGCCTAAAATTCTAGTCCAGCTCAAATCAGGATTTAGCATGGTTGGTGCCTAGATATTATTTTGCAAGCCCTACATACTCCCATCAAGTATGGGACAAAGACAAATAAGCATCCTTAGCAGGTACTGCAGAAAATAAAGGAGAAAGAGGGGGTAAGGATTATCTGGCGAGACGTGTTTCTGAAAGAATCTTGCAGAGCAAGAGCCATATAGACAATAACTCCTGAATGCTAGGATCAATGTTGCAGACTTACCTTTAAAGAGAGAAAAAGAAAGCCATTCACTGACTCGAAAAGACAGGCTTGCCCTCCATCTAGGAAGATGTGTATTGGCATACGTATCCTCTCCACGGTTGGGCTCTGGATGCTCTCTTTATCTTGTTAGCTCACCATTCAGCTCCACTCCCTTTGCCAACTCCCTTCCTACAATTTTTCTCTTCAGCCTTTCTCAATTCCTCACCTTTCCTCACTTCTTTCTCTCTCCCTCCCTTAATTCTGTTTCTCTCCACAAAAAAGTACTTTAACCCTTTCCCCCTAAATCCACAATCCCACCAACTGCTCCTACTACAGACAGCATCACCCTGAGTAAGTTGTATCTCCATTTGGCAAATAGTCTAGTGGTCAGGGCCTGCTCCAAAGCAGAATGGAGCCAATTCAAAACACCACCACTTTAATTTAGGAACATGGGGCAGTTTTGTTTTTTTTTTTTTTTTTTTTGAAAAGACTGTTTCAGAGAGTCAGTAAAAGCAGTGGTATAAACCAAGTTGGCAAAGACAAAAGGATGGTGACTTTTTGTAAAGAGGTAAGAGAAAGCAGGCAGGGGGCTGGAAATTTTTAATAACTCTTACAGCTCAAAGAGAAGAAAAATGGCACCCAAACATAATCTTTGCTGACTATTATTCTATCTGCTGTACTTGCGAACAGTATCATCCCCCTTTGTCTGCACAGTGAATTGAAGTTTAGAAGTCTTTAGACCAGGGATTCTTACTCCCTATTTGCATTCTGACCTTCTGAGGCAAATACATAGTGCTGGATCCAACAGTCCAAGGCAGACAAAGGTGCTGCCCCTCCATGTTCCCAGGTCCAACCTGTAGTGAGTCTGCAGATGTGTTCCCAGCAGACACATGCACAAAAACACACATATATACCACATACTCACATGGCTGGGCACACCGATCACTGACACAGAGCACTCACACTAACACAGATGGCACAATGGCCTCGTCCCTGTCCCCTGCTCTGGCTGAGCAGGATGAGCTACTGAGAATGTATGTGCACCTGTGTACAGTGTGAATCCTCCCAGCAACTAGTCTCAGACACTGAGTCTGTCATTCATGCCATTCATTCCATGCCCGGACCCCAGCACTGAGGCTCACCCAGGACAGTCCTGGGATGGGTCAGAATAAAGCGTTCCTTCATTGGGAGTCCTTAATTTGCGTGCCCTTGTGCCTCTGTTCTCCTCTAGGCTTGTGGAGATGGGCCTTTGATGGCTCCTGTGATGGGCCTGGGGGTGGCCTGGCAGGACAGGCTGTTATTTAGGCTTCCCCTCCTGCCACCGTTTCTCCAAGCTCCTTCATGGGTGTGCAGATGAACTTTTATCACATAACCCAACATTGACTACACAGGTGAACCTACTATTATTTGGTTCTTTGATGCTGGTAAATTACAACAAATAATGATTAAAATGTAAACATTTGTAGAATGCCTGAAACACTCAAGCCCACCTGATTTGCTTTAGTGATCTAAAAGTGGCTTCACAATCTATTCAAAAACTCTACAGGGATCCAAGAATTTCTATTCTTGTCTCCGAGACAAAATGCAAGAGACAGTCCATGGGAGGACTTCCATTAATATTTTAACAAACACAAAATATTTGCAGTCTTACAGAACTTCATACTTTTTTCACTCCTGGCTGCTCTTTATGTGTTTCATCTACTGCAAACAGCTAGCCTGTTTAATAATCTCAAAAATAGATGTGTTTATCAGGAATTATCTTTGTGGAACTCAGACAAAATATTTACGGGTGGACAGTAAGTTTTAGCATATTAACTTGTATCCATTCATTATTCCTCAATGCAATTACCTCTCCCCTAACATCAGATATGCATGCACATAAGCAGTATGAACAATAAGAACATCTATCCTGTGTTTTAATCTGATGTGAGCTTCATGGGTACTTGAGGTTTTATGTGACTTAGTTTCTCAAAATCTGTAAAGCCCGTGAAGACTTGCTGATGAAAACCCCTATATATAGTTTAAAATATTGTTCTGTTGATGATTACTTAGTCTGGGTTTAAGAAGGCACAAATTCTGTTAGAATACTATTTTTAAATTATGACAGCATTTGAACAGCAAAAGGAACTATGAGACAAAGTACCTTTGGTACTTCTGAAAACCTCCCCTATATCTTACATCTATTTCTTTGCTTTTGCAAACATGTTTTATTGCCTTATGCTGTTGAATATTTGTTCCTAAAATGTGGTACAGAATTAACATCGAATGCTAAAAAATCCCTCCCATATATGGTAGAGTATTGAAAATGAAAGCTCTTAAAAACATTTTCTCTGTAGACAAAAATATCTTCTGCAGGGTTCACTAAGACAGACTGCCAAGTCTCTAGCCACAGGGAACACTGGATTAGAGGAGCCCACTCTAGGCAGTAGATTTACTTTTAAAAGCTGCATATATGCTAGCTTTGCTGCTTCAGCAGCTACTAGCATCAAACTAGAGAGCTTATTTATCTGTAGGCATAATTAATTAAATTAATATTTTTGAAACAAAATAGTGGCAAATCAATTGTATCTGATAACCTCCAGTGGCATAATGCAAAAAAATCCTGTTATAAAGCAGTGAAATATATATATAAGAAAACCTCCAGCACTCATTTTATGTTTAAAGACAACATAGTGTGAAAAAAAAGAAAAAAAAAGAGAGAGAGAGAGAAAAAGTAACAACTAGACCGGAACACCATGCAGAACAGTTTCCACCTTAGTCACTCTCTTCCTTGGTACAGTGATGCTTTATCAAAACATAGGTGCAAGATGTTAACTTTTATACCCTACTCACTGGATTTTTTTGTTTCCTGACTGAAAAAAAAAATAAATCTACATCAATACAACTGATAGGACATATCACTTTTTTTTTTTTGCCAATACCTCCTTTTAGTGCAGCTGGTAACATGCACATTAATATAAAACATACACAAGATGAAAAATGTTTTCACTGTGTAAGTGCAAGGTAAAGTTCAGCTTACAATCATGAGATCTTTAGGTAACTGGAAACGATTTCAGGTGTGTTCAGGTCTTTTAAGTCTATTTTCAAGGCTCCTGTGTGATCAGAAGACTCCCGATTCCCAAGAGAATCATTCAGCTATGTAGATTACTTAAATCTTACACCTCTTGAGAATTTCTAGTTTACATGAAAATAGAACAAAGTCATACTTCAGAACTGCAGTAGCACAAACTGGCAATTTACCACTATATCCACATTTTTCAAAGTAGCAGCTATGAAATGACATCTATCATATGATCTTAACTCATATGATTGCAATGCACATTGTAATCATAGTCAAATGTATGCTGATTTGCTGAGTTACTTCAAAATTATGGTTCTATGAAGCAAGCGGTATTTCTGTACTACCTTAATTATACAGACTGACATGTTTAGGAAAGATGTCTTCACCAACAATGCAAGAGGATGGGACAAATTTCAAATAGTATTTCGACAAATGAAAAAACACACCACTGGTTAGAAACTGTAAAATAATTAAGAACGACCAAAACTTTGAAAAAAGCCCCACAAACTCAACTGCAAAATTTCAGTTCTACTGCTTATATTTACAAATGTAGTGGTTTCAAGTAAGCCAATATATTTGAACTTTGTATTAAAAAAATCTGTCCAAGAAGCTAGTCCTACTGAGTTCCAGTCATTCTCTGAGACAACAGGAAGCCTGATTAATACAGTGGTCTAGATAATGGCAACCTATACCATGGAAAAGCTAATCCCTTTGATTTAGAGCATGCTGCTGAAACAGCCAAAGTGGGTTGGAAGGAAGTTCAGGTCCTCAGGTCCCACATAACACATTTTGCTTAGTTCAAGTTGTCATGTCTGTTGTCATGGTGCAGCACTACGGTCAATGATAAAATCAACTGGTTTGGAAAGGATGGATATGTCTATCCTTGTGCCACAGTTAATCTGCAAACCAGAGGGTTCACCTATGGATTATATAGAGTTGACTGCAACTCAAAATTTACACCTGGCATGAGTGAGGCCAGAGTTTCACCAGGCTGCTTTCAAGACGCCTATTCCCACTTCCAGAAAAACCAGCAGCACTATCCATTGACTTCAATTAATCAGGACCAAATATTAGTACGTTGTCACAGATCATGAAGATAACTTCCTATAGTGTGGAGTACTTCATTTGGTCAATACATGTCCTACAGCAACTTGAGAGAAAATACAAATCCCTATAAGTACAAAACAGTTATCCTCACCTGATTATGCAAATGTAGCTAATAATATGGGGTAGTGTTTATATGCCTCTTAATTTAATGACAGTTGAGAATGAAAACAATGCATGTTTAAAGCATATGCATTTGCTTAGGAAAATGTGATGCTTTGACACCCCTTTTCCATAGCTGTTATGTCTTCATACTACATACTTTTACATAAAACATACACATACAAAACTGATACTTATAACTTAAAGACAGAAAGCTAAACATGCATGTATATTTCATATAAACATATATATCCATACATAGAAAAACATGTATGTACATTTTATATATGGAATAGGAGGAATGCACATAAGCAGACATACTATTAAAATATCTTGCTTAATTTGAGTTCAGCAACAATTAAACTCAAATACAATTTGTTCATGAAAATTTACATAAATTTGGGACCTTCTCTGCTTACTAAACAACACATAAGAACAAAGAAAAATCTCACAGAAGCAGCATACCTGTGTTCATTTTGACACTGGAAGATTTGCTATAAATGTCTTCAGATTTCCTGCAGAAAATAAAATGATCTATTAATCTGCACGAGACAAGAATGCATGGTAAAAAATGGCAGCAGGACTTCTCAGAGGGGTGGGGAATCACTGTGATACAAATGACAGTCCTATTTTAACACAGCTTTAATTAAATTGGTACTGCTTGTCCTTCCAAAGTTAAAGATGAGCTGTTGCTTCCATTATAAGCTACTCTATTTTCAAGTGTTTAGTATCTCTGTTGTAAACACTTGCTCTGGGATAAAAAACTAATGATTGAATTTTGGTCTTGAAACGATAAACTAAAAACTACTTCCGTACAGGAAAACAAATATTTTTAAAGGCTGTTTATAAGCTTTATTCACTCCTTTGTGCAGACTGAAAGATATAAAGAATAGGTCTCTCCAAATATTTTTTAAGCTGCCAAAGTTACCAGGTCTTTTTCAATAGTTTATAAGCAGATGTGGTGGTTTTCATCCAGTGATTTAATGTGTCTCTACAGACAACACTAACACTCTTAACATTGCTCACTGTATTGCTACACAGAGAATTAGGGCATGTTGTCTTGGCATCCCCAGGAATACATTTCAAAACTCCCAAAGGAGTTAACAGGTAAGGAATCAATTCACTATACATCAGTGTGCTTTTTAAAGGTAATAATTTGCACCAAAATAATGTAAAATGCATGCAAAACATTTAGATATCCCAACTGTATACAGTACTTACAAACAGTAAAACTGCACAAAACCAAGCTACGCTTGGAGGAAAAGCGTGACATCCTACATTAACAAGTAACTTCAACCTACTGATGGTATGTCACAGGACAAACTAGACAATATTTTCCATCTACGGCCAATTTATGTCACAGCTTCACCTTAGGATCAGGAGCTTTAATACCTCTTCTATTCAGGGTCTTTTAGAGATAAAAAGACAAATGCAGAAAAGGTTTCCAGTGGCATTCTGGTCACTCTCAGCTGTATCATTACAGTTATATATGCTGCCCTCTATAATTTGCTTTATTGAGTGGGCAGACACACTGGAAGCGAAAACATTGAGGGCTAAAAAAAGTCACTCTCCCTCTGTGCTGTTCCCGCATCAAGTTCAGGATAAAACAAAGAGAAAAAAATTAGAATTTTTAATGTAATACAGCTTAAAAAAAAATAATCAAAAATATAAACTGCCTATGTTGGAAAAAGTTGGAAGGTATGCATGAAGGACACCTTTTATAATGGGAGACTCAAGATATTAATTAATATGAGTAAATAAAATAGAAAAAGAGAATTCCAGCTCAACTCAACATGAACCCTGAATTAACTGCACCTCTGAGGTATCATGTATATTGCTATTTCACTCTTGTATTCATAATGAGGTCAGATTCTTCCCTGTTTGAAAAACTTACTGTTTTTCAGAAACTATCTGAAACCTGTCACTATAATTCAGGCAGTTCAGTGACAAAAAAAAAAAAAAGTATGTTAAACTTCAGGAGAACTATGGAAATAGATATGTGGCACTGAATAAAGTTTTATTAAATTCTTTTTATGCTGCAGCTATCAGCACACTACCTCTGAGAATTTCTAATAGATCTCTTAAAAATTAAGGCAAGTACTTTTTGTTAATTTTTTGGTCAATTGTCTTTGACTGAAATTTTGGATTTCTATAAAAGCTACAGAATATTCTTAAAGCCTCAAATTCCTACAGTTTTTTGAGGCTGCTAGTGGAGACACCATCTTCAAGCCTTTATTTAGCTTGGAACTGAATCACTGATGGTACCACATGCAAACTATGAAATGCAACATGGTATTTATTTTCAGACCCAACAAGTACAGAACTCTTGGAACATTGCAGAGCCTGAATGATTTCTAGCAGGTGGCATTGATATAGTTACGTAAAGCAAGCTTAACTCTTACTCAAGTTTTAACAGACAACACTCAATTTTAGCATTACAGCTTTGACCTCCTAAGAGTTTTTCCTATCTGAACAGCTCAGGCTGCACTGGTGACACTCAGCGAGGGATTGCATACAAATCACTAACATTTCTACATTAATCTGATTTTGCTGAACAACAAATTAGTCTTGCATACCTGAAAAGTATGCATGTAAATAAGGCAATATAAGTCACTCTCATACAAACAGTAGGCCTTTCATTTAATTATTTTATTAAAACTAAAATTATTTGGCATTCTCTACTTCTAGCTAAAGTAGCGTTCAATTACTTAATGATACTAGCAGTAGGATCTAAATGAATTTAACTCAGCATTGTTTCAAGCAGTCTTTCAAGATCCTTCAAGAAAGGAGAGAGGGGGAAAGCAAAGGGCTTTGCTTTGTGTTTCTGTTCCTACTTCATTGCATCCTGAAAATTGTTCTTTATGAGTGGGTTTGTAAGTAGCTCTAATATAGACCCCTGACAGAGGCAAGATGAATGTCCCACTGGAAGCATCAGACACTCTTCACTGCCAAAAAGGATGCCCAATGATCAGCAAAGATACTCAGCTCTTAGAGAGCGAACACTGCAATGGAAAGAATGCCTGTAATTACTGTGCAGGACAAAGCGCTACTGGAACGCATGAGTTTGCAAAATCAGATACTGCTGCTCAGTCAACCTAGATCAGGCAGGTTTTCTACTAAGTTCACGCCTTATCTTAGATGCTGAGGTAAAAGAACACTATCTAAAGTAGCATGCCTAACTTTTGCAGAGGGAGAGTCAGGATTAATCTTCATGACATTCTTCTATAGTTGGCTTCATCTGGCAAAGGTAGTGCAGCAGGAAATGAACGACTGCACTAATGCACAAAAATGGGTCTGTCAGGTTGAATACTGCTGCAGTTACCATTGCACTAAATACATAATATATATTGCTGTGTTGTTTCTTGAGAACTCCCTACAGTTCTTGATAACACTACAAAGATTACCTCAGCTCAGCAATACCTTGCATTGAGAGAGTGTACTGAAAAGACTTGTGGGAATCTCATTGACACCTGCTCTATTTTCTCCAAGAGACCCTGATAGCTAGCTGTGATCACTTCCTGTGTTCCTGATAAGTTCTGAACTGTGGGGTGCTAAAGGAAGCCATTGTGTCACCCCTTCTGTTCCACATTTATATGGAGCTATAAAAAGGGTTAGTGAGAAGTCAAGAAAGGTCTCCCCGCCCTCAGTTTATTCATGAATACAAGACATATGTCTTTACTGTTGCAAGTTTAGTTCTATTATTAATCAGATGTTAGAGCACTTACAGCTGTAAGGTAGAAGCTCTAGCATCCAAACAAACATCAATTAAATAAATGGAAGCAAGTGCTTTGTGAATCAAAGCCTAAATAACTAGTACCATGCTATTACCTGCTTGCACCTCATTCAAAGCATTAAGTTAATCATGGTCAATAACCATAATCCGTAACTGCCTAAGGACAGATACCATCAGAAGTTAGAATATACTTTCCATGGAAAATTCAGGAAAGAACTGGGAGGTTACTTATTGCCAGGCAGGATTCTATATCCTAATTCACATGTGGTAGTAAATTCTTTTAACCCAATTCATTAAGACTCTACAAGGGATCCTCTCTGCAAGAGGGCAATATACTTTATAAGCCAACTCATACATTCAGTGAAGGAGGTATGAAGTGCTAGTTCTGGTAAATAGTGAAGCTGACTATTTTATTTCTCTCAGTTTTTAAAAGAAATTATTTCAGATGTTTAGCAGTGGCAGGATGACTATGGCAATGAGAATGCAATGAGAGCCTGATAGACTGCAAAATGTTTATATTGTGGCAACAGCAACTCACATGAATGAACATGAATGAACAACTGTCCCAAAGCTTCTTTGGGAGCTGAGGTCTCTCCTGCTGAGCCCCCAAGCAGAAGGGAGGCATATATGCAAATGTACTGTTTGTATGAGAAAACATTTGACAGAGCATAGGTAGATGGTGATTATAATAAAAAATTGAGAAGGTACTGAAGAAGGTTACACCATGATTCAATTTCATTAACATGTAACAAGACAACAAAATGGCAGGGAGCCTGTACTAAGATCCAACCAAGCAAGACTTATGATGAGCATATGCTTAAGTGTATGCTTTATGTAGGCCCCACAGACCTATTTCTATGCTCAATGTTAAACATAAGCATAGATACTGTTTACCGCAGATCGCATTGCCTCACCTTGAAAGAAGCTGAATACTCCAGTTCTAATTAGTGTGTTTTCAAATAGACAATCAAAGAACAAAACATACAGGCAGACAACTGCCATCATAGTTTCTGTAATTGTAACTTTTAAATTTTGTTTTCAGGACTGTGAAGACATCCTTATGTTAAGCGCCATGTTATCATACCTTTACTTATGCACATCATCTTCAAATGTAGTGAACAGGGCACTAAACAATTGGGATGTCTGAATAATTTGTACATGACCATCAAGTTCTACAGGAATGCAATAGATACTGCTGCTGACAGCAATACAACACATGAAAAACAGAATAATCAGATTTGCAAGCTTGCGTTTGCATGTTTTGATGATACTATATTTTTCCCTTTCCCAAGGGGCACAATCACAAATTTTCATTTCAAACAGCTTCACCTCCCCTTCTCTATATAACGCACATCAAAATAATGCCACTTCTACTGTTTACGCATACTGTACTGTCAGCTGGTTTCATACCTAAGAAAGTCCAACACGCTTCAATGCTATATACAACAAAAAAGCTACAACTCTTCCTAGTATAAATAGCCAAAGAAAGATCTACTAACAATCATAATTGAGAGCACAGCTAAACTCAACTAAGAACCACTAACACTAGCTACCTATGCCTGCTAACTGAATTTCAAAAGTTCTAAAGGTTTGGTTAATTTTTAAAGATTGGATGCTTATCTTTCTCTCTCAATTCTTAATTGTCCTGTCATCCTTTACTGATCCTAGAGCAAGTCAGAAACAGTATGACTTTAAAACTCACAAAGATTAAGCTGAGTGGTATAAGAGCAATTAGGAGAGAAGGCATACAAAAAGGCTTGGTCTTCATAGAAATATGG